AGCATAAAAATCAAGTTTTATCAGATCTTACCCTCTTCTTGTTTAATAAAACAGAAACGGGACACTTACCATTGCATCCCTGAGTGGCTTTTTGAGAGGACAGAGAGAGAGAGTGTTTTGTTTTGAGATACTTATAGACTAAATAAGTTTGTTCTGTCTGCTTATCCATGACGGTGCAAACAAACATGTCTTCAGAAATCTCTAACATTTCTGTTTTAATTTGTCTCAAAGCTCTTGATTTAACGTGTAAAATGATTTTAGGTTGTGTTATAGCTGTCATCTTTCAAGCATTGTCTTCTTAAACTTTTATTTTTTACTATTCACTTCCTTCCTTCCTTACATATTTATTTATTTATTTAAGTAGTTTGTTAGTTAGCAAGTTTAAAAGAGCAGCATTTATTTGAAATAGAAATTCATTTGTAACATTAGAAATGTCTTTACTGTCACTTTTGGTCAATTTAATGCATCCGTGATGAATAAAAATATACATTTCTTGCAAAAAAAAAACAAAAAAAACAACAACAACGAAATAACTAATTTCCCAAACCCCAAAATTTCAAATGGCACAAATATAAAATGAAACAATATTAAAATGATGTTTTGCATGTTTCTATTTCATTATATTATTATTATACTGTAATTATTTGTGTTATTATTATTATTTTTATTTTTATAGTTTATTATATTTCGTTTATTTAGTATATATATATATATATATATATATACACACTCTCTCTCTATCTCCCACTATGAAGTATATATATATATATATATATATATATATTGAATCATTTGAGTCACATGATTCGTTCAAAACGCGGATTCATCCAGAAACTAAACACCGCTGTAGCCTATTGCTCGGAGATGCTCAACAATTCTGCTATGGTAATATGTTCTCTGCAAAATTGAGCAAAAGCACATAATATTGTGTTTAAAATATAACACAATATCAACTTCTTATTTATTGAACTGTTGTACAAAATCACATTTAAACTCGTGATATTCGGGACAAAAGCAGCACTCGTGTGATACTGCTGCTCTCGCTGCTTGTGTGATATCGTATGATATAAATATGAGACAAAAAATCATACAGGGGCAGTTTTTGCACCAATATTTTGAATTTTAGGGAATAACTGCATTTATGGATTTGTTGCTCTGCATCATATTTGTCAACAGTCAACTGTATAAAATGTAAGATGACGTACAGATCTGGGGGCGGGGCCAGTGCGTTAACTGCGTTAAAATATTTTAATCACGTTATTTTTTCATAACTAATTAATTTAAGTTAATGCGTTAAACTGACAGCCCTAATATATATGTATATATATTTTTTTATTATTATTTACATTTGTTTATTTTAATTTTCTTATTTAAAATTGTATTAATATTATTTTATTATTTACATTTTTAAATTAATTTATTTTATTAATTGATTTATTATTCATTTTTGTCAGCTCTCAATCCTTTTTTTATGCATTCTCTGTAGGGATGCTTCCTACAATAGTGCTTTTTGTTTATTTGTTTGTTTTCTAAATTATGATTTTGCAATCAAATTATGATATGAATTCTTTTTCGAATTCATAGTATTTTTTTTTTACATGCCAGTTTACAGCCATGATGCTAGTGTGTAGTGGGTGGTTGCTATGCAGTTTCTAGGGTGTTCTGAGTGGTTGCTAGGGCATTGATAGGGTGTTTTAGGTGGTTGCTAGGGCATTGCTGTTGTGCTCTAGTTTGTTGCGAGGGCATTTCTAGGGTGTTCTGGGCTCTTTCTTACAAGTCCAAATGAAAAGAATCTCTGAAGATGTTTTGGTCTCTAAATGACTTTCTCTTTCACTTATTTTTACATTGTTTGTAACAAACAGAAGCATCACACTGGTCATTTTTCACATCAGACATCATGCTAATGCTCACAGCAGCTGTCGGCCCTCTGTCTTCTCCTGACTTTGCAGTGTCATTGGATTTGGAAGATGGGGAGGGTGTGTGTGGGATTGACTCAATGAAAGTTTCAATAGGAGGGGTGCAGGAGAGGGTTATAGTTAAATGTCAGAGTCTAAGAGTGTGTGTTTGACAGCGGCTCATCCGGGCTAAGAGTGTTTGACCTTTCCCATGGTCATTTAACCAGGTGGCACTGAAAAGCGCTACCCGGTCACATAAATGTGGCCTGCCACGTGACTCTCAAGTGCTTCGACTGGTGCCGTCCAACAGCTCTCACACAGACTGAAGTGACAGTATAATCCTGAAGAGCGGGCCATCGCTCGCTAAATAATGAGGCCTCAGATCTGGAGAAGAGACGGTTTACAGTTGCTTCACGATGCTCGTGTTACAGGTTGTGTTGAGTTTCATCAAACAGTTGAAAGCGGAACTGAACCGCGAACAGATTCACACGCTCATCAACTGTGGTGAACAAAAGCAAAGATTTACCACAATTAAGGTGTGGTGTTAAGCTGGATGCAAAGATGTCAATATTGGAAA